CCTCCCCATGCATCCTCCCCGCCTGCGCTCTCCTCACCCCCGGCTGGTCTAACCCTGCTCCCCGCTTCCCCCCGCCCTGCACAGGCATCCCCCTGCCGGCCCGTACATGTATATGAGTGACGACCGCTGTGCCGCCGCTCCCCCTCTCACTTCCTCTTCCGAGTCCTGGCCCGGACCGCACGCCGGCACCCCGACAACCGCCGACACAGCAAGCCGGCCACTCGCCTGAGCGCCCCGTGGCCTCCCCCCCCCCCTCTCCGTCTCTCTCTCTCTCTCTCTCTTTGCCCCTCCCCCCTCTCTGCTGGCATACATCTTGTGCCTGCTCCCGGCTGTCGCGTCCCCGCCCCCTTCCCCTCTCCTGCCCGCGCGCATGAGCTTCACCACCGACAGCATGACCGCCCCCTCGCCGGGGTACTTCACCCCGGGGCTCTTCCCGCCAGAGCCCACTCCCCCGGCCGGAGCCCGCGAGCCGAGCTCCCTGCCGGCGCTGCTGGTGCCGGCCACCCCGCCCGGGCCGGCCCCCTCGGATGCCCTTTGGCTGGGGCCGGATGGCGGATCGCGCTTCGGGCCCACCCCGGTCGGTGCCGCGGCGGGCCCTGGCCCGGGGCCGGCCATCGACCCCGGCGCCCCGGGCCCGGCTCCCCTGTCGGACTCCCTGTCGCAGTTGGACTTCCCGGAGTTCGGCCCGAGCGCCCCCGGGTCCGGCGCCATGGGGTCCCTTCGGCCGGGGGAGCCCTTGGCGCCGGCCGCATCCACGGCCGGGCCCATGCCCGGGTCCCAGCCGGACCTCGGCCTGCTGATGCACCACCCGCTACACCACCTGCCGGCTGGGGCCTCGGCCGATGGGGCCTTCCCGGCGCTGGACCAGCTGCTGCCGGTGGCCGCCGCCCCGGCGGCCGTCGGTGACCCGAGCATTCCGCTGCCCGGCCTGGCGGTCGATGCCCAGGCCGGTGTTGCCCCGTCGGCCTTTGGCCCGGGGCTGCCGAGCGTCCTGGAGACCTCCAGCCCCGGCGCCATCTCCTGGGCCCCGGCCGAGCCGACGATCCCCCTGCCGGAGGCCGAGGCCGGCGGCGCGCCCGTGCCAGGCCCCGACCCCCGGCCCGATGCCGCCCCCCAGCCGGAGCCCGTCGCACCCGGCGCCGGGGATGGGCCCGAGCCAACGGCCCCGGCCCCGGCCCCGGACCCGGCGGCCCCCTCGGCTTCGGACCCGGACCCGGCCCCGGCCCCGGCCTCCGCCCCGGCGGCTGACACCACCCGCCGGACTCCCACCGGCAAGCCTCTCACCGGTGCGCCATCCCCCCTCCGCCCCGCCCCGGGGCAGAAGAGCAGCCTCTCATGTGCTGGCTCCCCCCCCCTCCCCCCTCTCCCCCCCTCCTGCTCGCTCTCGGGCGTCGCTGACCGCGTACATGGCCGCCCTCGCCTTCGCTCCCCTCGCCTTCGCTCTCCCGCGGCGCATCCTGCCGCCGTAGCCTTCCAGCTGTTCAGCCGCCAGGAGCGCCCGAAGATCCGCGCGCAGCACAATGGCCTGAAGATCCCCATCGGCGAGATGAGCCGATTGATCGGGGCCCGGTGGCGCAGCCTGCCGGACGCCGAGCGCCAGGTGTTCGTGGACCGTGCACAGCGCATCGCCGACCGGGATCGGGCCCTGGCCGAGTCACAGTCGACGGCCGGGGCCGCCGGTCCGGGGGCCCCCCCCGGCGCTGCCAGCCCGGCCGGCCCTCCCGCCGTGGCGCCTGCCCGTTGCTCGAAGAAGAAATCATCCAAGGACCGGGCGCCCGCCGCGGCCGGGGCCGCCACCGCCGCCGCCGAGGCCAAGCCCACCAAGCCCTCACGCGTACGTCCTGCTCCGGTCGCCTTGCCGGGCTCCGCTGCCGCGCTTGCCCTCCCCCCTCCCCCTTTGCTCTCCGCCACGCCACTCACATGTGCCCCCCTGTTGCGGGCTTTTGCCACGCAGCCTAAGCGCCCGATCAACTCCTTCCTCCTCTTCAATCGCCTCATCCGGCCGACCATCCTGGAGGAGACCCCCGGGCTGACGGCCGTCGAGATCAGCCTGCGCGTGGGGGAAAAGTGGCGGTCCCTGTCGAAGGAGGAGCGCGCGGTCTTCGTTCAGAAGGCCGAAAACATTCGCGTGGCCTTCTGGAAGGAGAACCCCGACTTCAAGTACCACGGCGAGACGCCGGCGGCCAGCGGCAGCGAGCCGGAGGCCGCCGCATCGGACGAGGCCGGCTCCGGGGCCACCGCCAGCGGGGGGGATCCCCCCTCGCCGGAGCAGGTCCCGGCCGCGGCCGCGGCCTCGGCCCCGGAGCCGGAGCCGGAGCCAGCCTCGGCCCCGACCATCGCCGCCGGGCCCGGCTGCTACGAGCCCACGGTGGTCGGCTATTCGCAGTGCTCCCGCGGCGGGTGCATCCCGCCCATCCTTCGGGACAAGTCCGCGGCCAAGGCCCGGCATTGCCTGGATTCCGGCGACACCACCAGCGTCGGGCGCATGTTCGCCGACCTGCGGGCCGGCGGCCCGGCTGCCGTTGCGGGCCCGGTGGCCGAGGCGACGCCCGCCGCGTGCTGCGCCTGCGGGGCCGGCTACGCCCCGGGCCCTGCGACCGGGCCGGTGGAGTACATTGCGTACCCGGCGCCGGGGCCAGGGCCGGCGGTCGGCGCCGGCGGTGGCGGCGCCGGCGGCGGCGGCTCGGGTCCCGGCGGCGGCTTCCCGGGGCCGCATCTGCCGGCCGCGGGGCCGCCCCCGCCCCCGCCGGCGGCGACCGCCCCCGCCCCCGCCGGCCCCGAGCACCCGGGGTACGGTGTGTATGCCGGACCGGGTGCCGGGCCCTCGGCCGCCGGGGACCTTTCGGCCGTGAGCGCCTTCTTCTCGACCGCGCCCCCCGGCGGCTCCGGCGAGGGGCTGGTGGTGGATCCGGGCCCCGGGCCGGGGTCCTACTTCCGCCAGTCGACCCTCACGGCGGAGGAGATTTCCTCCTCGGCGTCGGAGGCCGCGGCCACCAGCGCCCTGGCGCGGTACGGGCACCTGCAGCACCATGGCGGCCCGGAGGCGGCCGGCGCGGCTCCCCCCCTGGCCCCGGGGCCGCTGGAGTATGCCTCGGCCCAGGCGGTCAACTCGGCCCTGGCGTCGCAATCGGCCTCGGAGGCGGCGGTCGAGGCGGCGGCCTCGTCGACCGGTGCCCTGACCGGCGGCAGCAGCAGCAGCGAGTCGGACTATGCCGGGGGCTCGCCCTGCCAGCATCCCGGCTGCGGCGGCGGCGGCGGCGGCGGCGGCGGCGGCGGCAGTACGAGTGCCGGTGGCGGCTCCCTTTGTCACTGCCCGGGCGTGCGGCCGCCGGTCCCGCACCACCCCCCTCCCCATGTCCATCCGCACTTCCATCACCATCAGCAGCAGCAGCAGCAGCAGCAGCAGCAGCAGCCGCAACAGCGGCAGCCGCACCCCATGCCGCACTACCGGTTCCCGGCGTCCAGTCCCAGCGGCGAGGCCCTGGCCGCGGTGGGCCGGCCGCGTGCCGGCTATCCCCCGGCGGCGGCCCCCTTTGCCGGGGAGTTCCTGTACCACTCGGCCCCAATGGGTCCGGCCTTCCAGCCTGGCCCGCTGCCGCGCGCGGCCTACCAGCAGCATCCGTACCATCCGCCGCCGGGGCCGGCGCAGCCCCGCGCCGCGGTCGCCCATGGCGGCTATGTCCCGGCTGGCCGGCCGGCCACGTCGGCCGCCGGTCCTCCGGGCCCGGGGATAGCCCGGGCCAAGGGCCGGGTGCAGCTGAGCCGCGCGGCGCTCATGCGCGGCACCGTGCGCTTTGCACGGTCGGAGCTCATCCGCAACCGGCGCCCGGCGTCCAGCCGTGATGTGGCCCGGCTGGCTTGCAGCCGCCTGCGGGCCCTCGGCGAATTTTCCAACATCCCGCTGCGGGTGGACCCCGACCGGCGCCGGCACCGGTCGTACATCCTGTCGCTGGCCGGGGCCACCCGGGCGCGGTCGGGGGCGCGGGCGCCGTCCGCGGCGGCCACTGCCACCGCGGCGGCGGTCGCGGGCGCCGGGCCGCCGCCAGCCCTGGTGGCCGCCGCGGCCACCATCATGGAGCAGCCCGCCTCGGCGGCGGTGACGACGACGACGACGACGACGACCGTGCCGCTTGATGTGGTCCCCTCGCCGCCGGGGGCCGGGAGCTCGCCGTTCACGACCGAGCCGGCGACCAGCAGCTCGCCGGATCACCTGCCGACGCCGGAGCAGCAGCAGCAGCAGCAGCAGCAGCAGCAGCAGTACTCGCCGCCGCAGCCGCAGCTGGCCACGGCTGGCCCGGGCGGAATGCCGCTCGATGCCGGGGCCGTGGCCGCGGCCGGCAGTGGGTCCGGCCCGACGGCGGTGGCGGCGGCCGGCGCCGACCCCGCCGAGGCGACCCTGCTCCAGGTGGAGCTGGCCGGCCCGACCGAGACGCACTTCGAGAGCCAGGAGCTGGACACGGCCGCGCAGCTGGTGGCCCAGGACCTGGGGCTCCCGCTGGCCGAGCTCCATGCCACGGCCGCGGTCGACACGGAGCTGCTTCAGGTTTCCGAGCAGGGCACCGTGGAGGCCATCTGCCCGACGCTCTTCCCGCCGGGGGCCGGTGCTCCCGCCGGGGGGGCCGGCGAGCAGCCCCCGGGGTCCGATGTCCCGCTGCCGCTGCCCTCCGAGCCGGGCTTCGTGTATGACCAGCAGGCGGTGCCGGCCGGGGGACCTCCGGCGCCATCGGGCCCGGCCCCCCAGCACTATCACTTCCAGCAGCCATACTACCCGCTGCAGCGGCCGGCATTCCCGGGCCCCGGCGAGGGGGCCGCCTATCAGGCGGTGGCCGCCGGTGGTGGGTATCCCCCGGCGGCGGCGGCGGCGGCGGCAGCGGGGGCGCCCCCGCCGCCGTCCTCGCCGCGGCAGATCCAGCTGTACCACCCGCCGGCGGGGCAGCCGCCTCCCCATCCGGGGCACTTCCATGACCCGGGCGCGGCCTTCCCCCCCCCCGCCTTGGCGAGTGGGTCATCCACCGCCGAGCTGGCAGGCTCGGTCAGCCGGGCCAGCGCTGCGCACCTGCCGCCTCAGCATGCTTTCCCGGCGCAGGGCCCCGGGCATCACCCGCATTTCCAGCCACCAGCAGGGGCCGGGTCTCAGCAACAGCAGCAGCAGCAGCAGCAGCAGCAGCAACATCAGCAACATCAGCAGCAACATCAGCAGCAACATCAGCAACATCAGTCTCAGCAGCAGCACCAGCAGCAGCACCAGCAGCAGCACCAGCAGCAGCACCAGCAGCAGCACTACTCCCCCCCGGGCGCCGGGCATCCGTACCTGGACCGGGCGCCGGGGCTCGACCCTGTGGTTCCGTGCCATCGGCACGCGGTGACCGGGACCGTCCCCGGGCCTGGGCATCACCATCCCCATCACCACCCCCACCACCACCACCACCACCACCATCGCCTGTCGATGGGCATGGCGGCCCCCTCATCTCCCTCTCCCTCGCTGGCGGCTGCACCTGCGCCCTCCTCGCGAGCGGGGTACTACTGATGGGGTCTTTCTCCGCCCCCTCCCCTGGGGGAGGGGGTGGCGCGAGAAACCAAGCACACCCACCAGCCCGTCGAGCAGCCGGGGGTACGGCGTCCATCTCCCGCCTCCCTGGTCGTTCCGGGCCCCCTCCCCCAGAGCATATACACATATCAAGCCAATAAACAATGTTCAAACACACGCGCGTGTCCTCCCCCGGCCGGTGCGCCTGCCATCTCTGTGTCTCTACGCGCAAGCATGCGCATATGTACATTGGGGTGTGACCAGCCTCCGATTCTCTTTCTCTTCTCCCCTCTGCGCGCACGCGCACACGCACACACACACACACACACACGGCGATGGGGATGGCAAGGCAGAAGAAGACCCCCCCCCCCCCGCCCCCCGCCCCGGAACAGCAGCCCCACCAATGACAGAGGCAGCTCTATTTTGCATGGACACCACAAGAACACCGGGGCGTCAGGAGGAGCGCTCCCCTCCCGGGGGAGGGAGCGGGGACAGCAGGATGCCGGGACACATGCACTCGCGCATGCGGGACGGGGGATGCACCTCCATCAAATGCGGCACATCACTTGCGGCCGTAGCGGCTGAGGAAGTCCTTGTGGAAGTCGGACCCCTTGGCCGTGATCAGCAGGGCCGGCACGCGGTTGATGATGCAGTAGGTCGGCTGGGCCAGGGTGGCGCCCAGGCGCTGGCGCAGGGGCACATCGATGAGCTTGGCCGTGCCGTCGGTGCTGTCGCGGGTGGACTCGTACGACACACAGGCATTCTTCAGGGTGTAGTCGCCGCGCTCGTCCCAGGGGGCCCGCTCGCCGAGGACCACCGCCAGCTGGTCCGACAGCAGGTCATCCTCGCAGAAGTCCTGAATCAGCTCGGTGACCATGTACTCCGGGTACACCAGCAGCACCGGCCAGTGCAGGCGCCCGCGCTTGTCCAGGTACACCGGCGGCAGGGTGACCCCCGGCGGCACCGGCAGCTCGACATTGGCCATGTCCTCGACCCAGAGCTTGCGCGCGGCGAAGGCCTTCTTCAGCGGGGCGTCCGCCTCGTCGGCCTTGCGCTGCTCCTCGGCCCGGGCGGCCGTGGCCGCCTCGTGCTTGGCCCGGGCATCGGAGATGCTGCGGCGCTCGCCCAGCAGGGCCATGTTCTTGGGGTCCACCTTGAGGCCGAGCTCGCAGTACTCCAGCGCCTCGGTGAACTGGTTGAGACGGTTGTGCGCCCGCGCCAGGCGGAAGTACGCCCGGACATTGGAAGGGTCATGGCGCAGGGCCTCCAGGCAGTCCTTCTTGGCGCGGCCGTAGTTGGTCATCTGCGGCATGGGCATGTGCATTGGGGCGGGCGGGCGGGCGGGAGTGTGTCGGGGTGAGGAAGAGCGGGGCTGCGCGTGCAGGCAGGGATGTCCGCGGCAAAAGGGAAGAGCGACAGGGGGCTGGATGCGCATCGGGACTCGAGGAATATGCCTGGCCCGTATACACGCTTGCATGTGCGCCTGCGCACGAGGACGCAGCATGTATGAGCGAACACAGCATGTGTAGGCGGACACAGCATGTGTAGGCGGACACAGCATGTGTAGGCGGACACATATGCATACATGCATACATGCGTACATGCGTACATGCGTACATGCACACACATGCACGTACATGCACACACATGCACACACACACACACACACATGCACACACACGAAACAGTCACACATTCCCAAACGCACCTCCAGATGCACGGCCGCACGGTTGGTCAGGCAGATGGACGCCACCGCGGCCGGGACGCCCTCGGTCTCCAGGGCCTTGGTGTAGAACTCCAGCGCGGTGGCATACTTGGCCGAGCCGGCACGGAAGGCCTCATTGCCGCGGTCCTTGAAGTTGTTGGCCACCTCCTCCGGCGTGCCCTCATACAGCAGGGCCTGCAGGGCATCCAGCGCGGTGTTCCCCTCGGTCGAGCTCAGATGGCTGTTGGTCGAGCCGCCAGAGAAGGCCTCATCCGCCTTGCCGGCCGTCTGGCCGATGGAGGAGAGGTCCTCCTCGGTCATCAGCAGCGGCACGCTCCGGCGCACCTTCTCAAAGGCCTTGAGGATGTCCTCCTCCTCCTCCTCCTCCGCCGCCGCCGCCGGCTGCTGGTCCTCCTCCTTGGCGGGCTTGGACTCGGAGGCCGGCTTGGCGGCGGCGGCGGCGGCGGCGGCCTTCTCCTCGGAGATGGACATGGCCGACACGCCGGCGGCCATAGCCCCGGGCGAGATGATGGTATCCTCGATAATGTCCTCGGGCTTGGGAGAGGTCATGTCAAAAAAGCAGCGGCAGGGGCCCGACAGAAGGGGAAGGCAAAAGAAGAAGGGAGGGGGGGGGGAATGGGGAAATGTATGAAGGGACGGGGCAGTAGGGAGCAGGGATGCAGCAGCCGCCCGGGTGGGGCAGCCCCTCCGGCATCCGATCTCTTGAGGCCGCCAGCCCGCCACCGGCCGACATATGCTTACCCGGGCGACGCGCGATCTTCCGGCCCATGGCGCAGATCGCCCCGCGCCGCCTCTGTCCACCGCCGCAATCCGGGCGTGCGGGCCTCCCTCAAGCTCCTTCTGGCCCTCTTTGCCCCCCCCCCCCCCCCCCCCCGGGCCCCGGGTCAGCCTGGGCGAGCCCGTGCGATGCGGGCCCCCGCCCCGGGCAAATAGGCCGGACAACAGCGCGCCCGGGAAAAGGGCGACCCGCCCGCAGGCAGGCCGGCGATCCGCGCCAGGGCGGCGTGCGGCGGGACCTGGGCAGCATGGGTCCGGTCTTGTGATCATACACACCCACCCCGAGCTCCAGAATCCGCATGCTGGCTTGTCGTCTATTCACGTGCACGGGCCGTCGGTGGCTTTGCGGGCGGCGGCGGCCGCCTGGCGGCCCTAGTCCTGCGCCACGCCGGGCCACTCGGCTCCGGCGTCGTCCCAGGACTCATCCTCCGAGGCTTCGGTGCTGGCGGCAGGCCCTGGCAAGCCCGCGGGCACGGCGACCGGGTTGTCGGCCGACGGACTGGGGCCCGAGCCTGGGGCCGGAGCCCGGCCGCCGGCACCAGCCGCACCGGCCACCGCCTCCTTGGTATTCTCCAGCAGCAGCGCACGCATGGAGGGCAGCAGGTGCGGCGTGATGCCGGTGGCCCCGCTGGGCTGAAGCGGCTCCACGGAATTCCACACGCGGAACTCCGCCCGCTGGACCGGCTGCGCCTCGGGGTTGAGGACCGGCTGCACATCGCCATCCAGCGCGGCATCCTCGTTGTCATCGGACACAACCTCGCGACTGAAGAGGATCTGCATGTGTCGGGGGGAGTGTGGGGGGAATGTCCAGCATGAGTGTCGTGTGGGGGGCAGAGAGAGGGGGAGGCAGAGAGAGGGGGAGGCAGAGAGAGGGGGAGGCAGAGAGAGGGGGAGGCAGAGAAGGGCAGAGAAGGGCAGAGAAGGACAGAGAGAGGGGGAGGCAGAGAAGGACAGAGAAGGACAGAGAAGGACAGAGAAGGACAGAGAAGGACAGAGAAGGACAGAGAAGGACAGACAAGGACAGACAAGGACAGAGAAGGACAGACAAGGACAGACAAGGACAGACAAGGACAGACAAGGACAGAGAGGCAGACCGGTGGAAATCCCACGGCCAACGCACGCGTGTCTTCATGGCCGGGGCACCGGGGGCCAGCGGCCGGACGCTGGCTTCGCCCAGCTCGACCCGGCTCATGGCGGCCGAGGCGACAACAAAGCGGACGATGAAGAAATCCCCGAGCCCGAAGGCGGGGGCACTGTCGGACCCGGGCTCGGCCGTGGCCATGGCCGAGGCCACCGGGGCCGCGCCATCCGGCGCCGACCGCGACAGGAGACTCAGGCTCGGGGCAAAGTGGATGGAGCCCTGGAGGGCGGCTTCGCCGGCCTGGGGCCGACCCGACACCCCCGGCTCCAGGGGGAAGGGATGCGTGAGGTTCCACACCAGCATGGAGGCACCGCCCGGAGCCGGCGACAGCACCACCGACCCGTGGGAGGGAATGCAGTCGACCCGGGCGATGGGGGTGCTGGACACGGTCGCGGCGGCGGGGGGGGGGGGCGGGAAGGGGGCACCCAGCGTGAGCGGCGATCTGGCAGCAGGACCCCGGGCCCTGGCGCAGGGCGTAGATGCCTGTCCGAGGGCACGCGAGAGAGAGAGAGAGAGGGACGGAAAAAGAGCACCGGGGAGGGCGAGGGAGGCGGAGCAAAGCAGAGGGGCCGTTCGTACTTGCCGATGACCGGGATGAGCACCCGGCAGCTGTGGAGCCGGGCGCCAGACAGGCCCTGCAGGGCCTTGCTGTTGAACTTGATTTGCGCCATGAACCGGACGGCGGTGGGCCCAGCCCGCTGCAGAGCGCATGCGACGTCGCGTTGGCCCCGCCGCGGTCGGTCGGTCGGTCGGGGTGGGAGGGAAGGGGGCCTGTCAAAAAAAAAAAAAAAAGAAGCCCAAAGCCGGGGGAGGGGGGAAGCCCCGCATTCATGACTGCAACTATGGGCACACGCATGTGCCGAGGGAGCGGCAAGAGGGGGTGTGTGCAGAAAGAGAGAGGAGAGCAGACCGGGGGGAAGCCCGGCTCGGCCCGGCCACGCACGCTCATCTGGTAGAAGCCCAGGATCGGCAGGGCCGGCAGCTGAGCTGGCAGCTGGACGTGGTAGTGCGACAGCCGAGTCCAGTCGTCGCGGGTGGTGTCCTCCTCGGCCACGTGTGCTCTTCCGATCTGCGGCAAGAGGGGGTGTGTGCAGAAAGAGAGAGGAGAGCAGACCGGGGGGAAGCCCGGCTCGGCCCGGCCACGCACGCTCATCTGGTAGAAGCCCAGGATCGGCAGGGCCGGCAGCTGAGCTGGCAGCTGGACGTGGTAGTGCGACAGCCGAGTCCAGTCGTCGCGGGTGGTGTCCTCCTCGGCCAGGGCCGTGCCTGACCCGGCATCGCCGCTGACACTGAAGACAATGGTGCGCGAGGCGGCCCCGGCGCCGGCGCCGGCGCCTGGGCGGGAGTCGCCCCCGCCGGCGGCACTGGTCCCCTCATCGGCGGCCGTCACGCACCGCGAGTAGAGGGCGTCCCGCAGGTAGGCCACATTCCGCAGGATGAGGGTCACCTCGCAGGGGGGCGGCCGGGGGGCGGCCAGCCCGGCCGGCCGTGACTGCGAGCCCGGCGAGAACCGCACATAGATGGCCCCGAGATCGGAAGAGCACACGTGTCCCCTCATCGGCGGCCGTCACGCACCGCGAGTAGAGGGCGTCCCGCAGGTAGGCCACATTCCGCAGGATGAGGGTCACCTCGCAGGGGGGCGGCCGGGGGGCGGCCAGCCCGGCCGGCCGTGACTGCGAGCCCGGCGAGAACCGCACATAGATGGCCCCGCGGATGGCGTGCTCATCGGGCCGGTGCGGGCTGGCGTACAGATGCCCGCACACGCGCTCGCGAATGACGATCGTCAGATCCCACTCGGCATCCGGGGACTGCCCGGTGTTGGAGAGGCCCACATGCCGGAGGGCCAGCCAGCCGGGGGGCGAGGAGGGGCGGGG